TAATTCATGTTAACCAGTGTTTCCCCTATATGCATTTAGGAGCGGCGGTGCGCCGCTTCTGAATTATGACTGCTGCTATTAAAATTTCCCACAATCTTTAATCAATGCGCAACTAATGTTTTAATTCGCACATTGTGCGAGCACGGTAACATTAAATGCTCGGTTAGCTTCCTCATTCTTCAAAAAAACATCTAGGGCCTTTCACAATCTGTGTTGTCTGTACTTGTGTTCTTGTGAAACGTCATCTTTTGTGCCCCCAAGTACTGTCCCAATACACAAGTTTGCATTTTGGCAAGAACGGTTAAAAATGGAAGTGTCGGTTGGTAACTTGTGTGAACTTGACGGCAGAGATATCCCAGCATTCATTTCGGCATTCAAGCGAGGGGCTGAAAGATGCTGAGAGAGGCCAACAGCAGAACGTTTTGTACTATTTTCTTACATTATTTCATCACTAAATCCACTTCTGAGAAGGTTTGAGGCGAGAAATCAACATAGATGATGATGGCGAATCATTTTCGGAGTTGCTCCTTAACAGTCAGTGGGGGGAGCTAGCGAACCAGCCTGCCGGGGAAGCTAACCAGCGGGCCTGCCAGTCAGCTCACAGAGCCCTCAGACCACTGCAGCTAACACAGCAAAAACGGCAGAGTAAAGACCCACAGCTGTAAGATAACGTTCGTACCGCTGTTATTCTGTCATTACATTCTGAGTAATTGAAAGTAAGTGAGAGATTTTTACTTAAATCAAGAGACATCTTGATGATTTACAGAAAAACGGTGATGTACAAAAAAATCTGGTCTTGTGAAACTTTGGAAAAAAATATCAAAAATAGTATGAAAGGGGACTGTCTTTGCTTTATTATTATTACTATTACTATTGTTATTATATTAGACATTACATTGCTAGTGTACAGTCGAGTAGTGGTGACAGTATTTGCTTTTTATTTGTTTTTATTTTATATAAATTGTTTATGTGAAAACATATTGGTAAGTTAAAACCTACAATAAACCCGATTCTGAGCTTTTTGTTTTGGGGGATGAAGCCTGACTGTTTCAATAATTACAGCAATGCAGGTGGCATCTGTGCTGGAGGTATTGCACAATACCAGAACGCATCATCTCAAACAGTCTAGACTAACTAACGTTCTCCCCAAGAACACAAGTCCATTCTTTGCATTCATGGTTTTGAGAAACACCCCTAGGATTATGTAACAGGTTCATAAGAGCAGCTGCTAGCAAGTGTTTGATTGTCCAGCACCTGGACTCCTGAAGAAGCTGAAGAAGTTCTGCCTGCCAAAGACAATGATGGTGCACTTCTACACCATCATCATTGAGTCCATCCTCACCTCTTCCAGCACCATCTGGTACGCTGCTTCCACTGCCAGGGAAAAGCACAGGCTGTAGCATATCATTCGCTCTGCAGAGAAGGTGATTGGCTGCAATCTTCCTTCTGTTCAGGACCTGTAAACCTCCAGGACTCTAAGGCGTGCAGGAAAGATTGCAGCTGACCCCTCCCACCCCGCACACAAAGTGTTTCAGACACTCCCCTCTGGCAGGAGGCTGCCGTCCATTAGGACCAAAACCTCTCGCCACAAGAACAGTTTCTTTCCGATTGCAGTGGGCTTCCTCAACAAGGCCCCCACTGTCACTGACTCTCATGCCCCCCTCCCCAAACACACACAAAACACCAACGCTCAACTGTGCTTTATGCTCATGTTGTGAATTTTTGCACACACATGTCAGCAATGTATTATATTATTGTATTTTTTGTATACTTAGATTTTTTTTAATCTCATTTTAAAAAAATGTATATTTCTATTTATGTTCATGTGTACTGTAAGCACCAATTTATACCAAGGCAACTTCCTGGTATGTCAAAATGTACCTGGCAATAAAACTGATTCTATTGTTACATGTTGTCAAGTGTCTTGTTTGTTGTTTCTATTGTCTGCACATGATGCAGAACTTAAAACATACTGTACCGAAAACAAATTCCACCGGCATTGTTGTGTGGCTAATAAAACAGTCTAATCTAATCTAATCCCCACACCCCTGCTGAGGTCCAAACGATTCGATACCTACAAATACTGGCTCGTGCTTTTTGCCAGACTAAAGCAGTGAGTTTAGTCATAATTTTTATTGAACAATAACACATCAACTCATCTTGTGGCTGTCGTGGCTTATTTAAGTTCATGTCTTTCTTTTCCATCTAGAAGTGTTTCACACATGGCACCCATGCGCTCCTTTATCATTTCTCCATCTGTAAAGGTTTTTTTTATGTTGTCCTAAAAATCCACTGTATTCTCAGTGAACACTCATGCCCACTTTTGTACTGTGAGGGATTGACACCGAACTTGTGTAGATTGTTCATTTTTGCCTTTGAGCACATTGATTTTCCATGTCCTCACCTCAGACTGCTTTGGGTAAGTTTCATCTAATTGTCTGTGTCTAGCTTCATAGTTGAGTTTAATATTTCCACTTTTGACAATCGCAGCAGACTCTGTGCAAATGAGGCACACCGGCCTCGTAGAGCTCAAAGCTGGAAGAATAAATGCCTACTTTAACGTCCACTCAACTCGGACAACTGTTTTCCCTGACATCTTTTTTGATAATGCCATCTCCTTCTATCATCTTGTGTAACTGTGTGCCTCAGTCAGCTCCTATGGTCAGTTCGCTTCTCTGCCGCATGTTTTTCCAACCGCAAGACCCATTCATCTCTAGGCCTGTTAAAAAATCCTTTCCTGACAAGATCAAGAAATATATATATATATATATATATATATATATATATATATATATATATATATATATATATATATCTCTCTCAACGTAGCAACCGTGACGTCACCCATTTGTTTGTGACCTGCCGTTTTGAAGCCTCTGGTTTGGCATTTTGGCCACCGTCATGATGATTTTTTGTAACCAGGCACCAGATGTGACCATATTTGGATGAGATGGCTGTGCATCTGTAATTCATGTTAACTGGCTAGCTAAAAACAGGCTTAAAACAAAACGTACTTAAAGGAAAAAATTAACAGCCACCTCCTAATAAGCTTGTTACTTGCAACTTGTCAATCACAAGGTAGTCCCATCCTAAAGCACACGCTGCTTTATAATCTATTTTCCCCTAAATAGGACCATTTACTATATAAACATCATGCTGTGTAAGAGAAGACTTGAAAGTAGTGACTGAAGACTCGTGCAGACTACACCACTTTCAGCATCAGCCAATCACTGTGCGGTTCACAACTTGCCGTCTTGAAGTTGTTGTGGCGAACACACTACGTGTGTAACAGACGGCCACACACTACACGAGCTGACAAACCACGTTTTGTCAAGAAAACACATGTGAAATGTGAAATGTGAAATGACGCAACACTACACACGAAACAGCTGTTGTTGATTATAAAGATAGCAATTATAAAGACAAAGAATATGGGTCAAAGAATGGATTAGCAGGCTACGCATGTAGCCATGCATTTACTTGAGCGTTGGTATCTGCGTTGTTTTGCAATTACACTTCCAAACAGTAGTTGGCGGTAGCGCTGTAGCATCCAATGTGTTGACGTTTGCCAGCCAAGCATGCTAAGTTCCGGTTTAGCCCTCCGCTACCTTGAATGGGGGTAAAATTATATACGTGCGGCTGTTAGAGACTTTTCAAATGTTATCTACAGAATGCATCACATTCCGTTTTAGACTAGAAACACATCAGGAAAGTGTTTACTGAGGCAATTAATGAGGTGAAATGTAGGGTAATTTTACCATTATTTCTAATGGAACCGGACTTCTTTTTGCAACCTCGGGAGTCACCCCCTGCTGGCTGTTAGAAAGAATGCAGGTTTAAGGCAATTCCTGGATGGCTTCACACGTGAGAGCCAGAGGTTGCTGCTTGATCAAAACACATTTTAATTTAACTATTTTAAAATACTGCATTTTACACTTGGGATAAAAGAAATGTCTGCCATTTGTCCACAAAGAACCTTGGCAGTCACGTGACATGATGCAGGCCAATAGAAAATAATAAGCACAAAAACAAACAAAGGTAGGCATCTCATAATTTTAGAGCCCTTAATGTGAAACTAATATGTTTTGTGCTGTGGACCAATGTCTAACACATTGTGATTCGAGACTGGGTTTGCATTTCCTACAGTCCCAGTCAGTTTCTGTCCACAATAACTCTTACAGCCACCTTTATTCATGTTCCTTTATTTTAACAAACAAAACTGAGGTTTTTTTTGCCTTGGCTATTATTTTAATAATAGAAAGCGTCTAATCACACTACTACTAGACTACATGACAATCTGATTATAAAACAGTAGGCTACAACATTCAAAAACAGACAACAGAGTATTAGATAACGCAGGCCCAAATAGCTCCATATTCCAGGAGGCAGCTAACTTACACAGCCCCTGCTGGGGCCCGGTTCCTCTGTATCCTATTCAAGATTCTTCACAAAGCAAACAACATTAAGTGCATCATACCATGAAAATAAATTCGTGTTAACACCATGACATTTAAAGAGTGATTATGTGTTAAAGTCTATAAACTAGCTTTTAAGTGGGACGGAAGGAAGTTTTTTTCCCCATCATTGACGGAAAATAAGTGGCGTCGACCTCAATATTCACATTCCTTTCTTCTGCCTTTGTTGACATTACGTTCAAGTTAAACGTTAAGGCCATTGTAGTTAATTTACCAGAATGTAGCGCGTTCTCAATCTTGGTTTTATAGCCTGTAACACCGAGCTGAAAAGAGACTCCCGAATTTCGGGACGCTCGTGAAGTTTTGGGCACTTTGGTGAATGGCCTGTTGTTCTGCGTGTTGCTCTTGTCAATAGGATAAAGAACAATCGGTAACAGTTAACGTTATCGGGCTTTATGTTTATTAAGACCATACGGGAACACATGCGTTAGCTAAACTTATGCATATCATAACTTCTTTAAAAGTGTCTGAAAGATGTTTTTCCCCGTGAGATGCAAAAGGCAAAGACAAGACTGGAACACTTACTTTGCTCCTCACTTCAGCAGACAGACCGTAGGCTGGCCCCTTATTAAAATGAGTCATTTTCTTGGTTTTTCGCGTAGACCCAAATGAATCTCCTCAGCTAGAATGTGGCACAGAGAAGCAGCGGTTGCTTCGGCCCCTTTTTTCAACACGCAGACCAGGAGGAAAGTATTCCGTCAGGCTTCACAGAGCAGAGTACCAGACTCTATCTGTAGGATGTGCTCAGATTGCAAAAAAAATGTCAAATGGTTGACGTAACTACAAGAGCCAATCAGAGCACCCGATTTGTATCGGGTTCCTCCCTCTCCTGATGCGATTTGTGTCACACTAGAAACAAAAAGTTCGGACAGACGGTATGGCTGTTAAACAACCTCAGCTCAAAGTCAAAAAGTGCTATCCAAACTCAGTTTCCTTTATTAAGTGTTCAAATGTTGTTTCAGGTTGTGAAATATAGTGAAACCTTTTATATAAACGTACACTGTGGGAAGCAGGCAACATATGCTCAACAAGAAACGGTTTGGGACCCATATTGTCACTGTTTCACTACTGTGGCAACATTGGCAATTCTGGATTAGATCAATTGACTTGAAAGACCCCTGTGGTAAAAAAACAAACAAAAAGTAGCTGCAATGCAAATGCACATACATGCTTTACTTCATTGCCAAAGTGGATCATAGCAAAGATCCTTTCTCTGTAGCAAATGTACTGATATGCAAATTAAGAGTTATGTCACCTTCCTTCTGTATCCATTACCCGCAGTGTGTGAGTTTGTCTTATAGTGGTCCACAGTTAGCCATTTTGTAGGATGTATCAGAAATACTTGTGTCAGTTGCAAACATTACACATCAAGAGAAATAGAAATAATAGAAATAATAGGCCTAATAGAAGTTGGTGAGTAAAGAAATATTTAATATAAAAAGTATAAATATAAAGGAGTCTGGTATGTACAATATTTAAGTTATTGACAGAATTGTGATGCACAGTAGTAGTGAAAATAGATAATAAATAGAAGCAGAATTGCAGCAAAGGATATTGCACACTGAATATTTAAACAGAATGTGAAGAATTGGACGACATTGTCTAGTTTGAGAACTTACTAAGTCTAACTAACTGTGTCTGACACTTTGAGGGGGGAGTTAAAGAGTTGGATGGCCACTGGCAGGAATGACTTCCTGTGGAGCTCTGTGGTGCATTTTGTGCTCCTGCATTTGACATCATGAAGTGGGTGGGAGACATGGTCCAAGAAGACATGTAGCATGGAGAGCATCCTCCTCTCTGACACCACCGACGAAAGTCCAGCTCCACTCCACTGATTCACAGTCCGTGTTTCACTCTACAGTGAGCTGTACAGTCAGATTCCATCCATCCATCATCAACTGCTTATCCTGCGTACAGGGTCGCGGGGGGCTGGAGCCAATCCCAGCTGACATTGGGCGAAAGGCGAGGTACACCCTGGACAGGTCGCCAGTCCATCGCAGGGCTACAGTCAGACTGTGAATTGTATTTTTCATATTGCTTGATTGTTAGCAGATAGCTAACAATCTATTTACTGTAGGCCTACATCATTATTAAAGCCCTTGTAATATGACATCATTACTGGGTCCTCTGTCCAAGCAGCAGATCGTTACTCCACACTACTCACAATGCCTGCAATGTTCTTGTACAGTACCACTCAAAGCAAATTACACGTCGCATTCACCCCACTCACACACTGATGGCAAAGGCTAAGGTGCCAACTCTGCTCATCAGAAACATTCACACAGCCATTTGGGGTTCAGTATCTTACCCAAGGACACCTCGACGTGCAGACTGAAGGAATGGAAACACAGACCTTCCAATGAGTAGGAAACCCGCACTACCCCCTTAGCCACAGCCACCCAAGTGAGAGAAGAGAGAGAGAAAGTGTGCATTGGTTACAGCTGCAGCGCTTGTCAGTGTTGGCATCTGGTGGTAGTTATAGATGTTTATCGACATTTACAGACCTCAGCAGATAGAAACAGATGAATGACTACGGACTACCACTACTAGTCATTTGGAGAGAATGCTAATTAATGCTGATTGTAACATTTCACACTGAAGACAAAAGCCAGGTGTTAGTGGGTGTTACTGGGTTTTTTATCATGTGTAAAAGGGTCAGCAATATGCTCTGAAAAAAATGACTGATGATTATCATATATGTCTGCCAGGAGAGCTGGCTGAAAGTGAAGACCAACTGATTTGGGCTAATCTGTTACCAGTGAGGTATATGGCTACTCTAAGGAACAAAATATTTAATTACAAGATTTATAGCATTGACTACTGCAGGTAATTATTCAGCCAGACTATGTGTAGTTATCCCTAATATATAAAGGGGTTTTCTACTACAGTGCTATCACTCATGCTGTTACTGTGGATCTGTATTTTTCACATTAGATTAAAATACTGTTACATGCCTGTATTATGGTATACTACCACGTTGGCTGTATAATGCAACAAAGAGAGAATGATAATACAGTTTTGTTTTGGATTAAAGGAAAACTTGTTTTATGGCTGTAACAGTGCGTTACTGTTTAGTATCTTGTGTATTCTTGTGTTATTTCTCTTCCCTCTTTCTGTCTTAGTGTTTGGTTTTGTCTGTGAGTCTATTGGCGGGGCCAAGGGCTGACCCTGAATAGTCGAAGATTTGATGCTTCGACGGGCAGAGCCTGATTCGATATATTCGCAATATAGCGGTGCTCAACGTCTGATTTTACATCTACCAGTTTTCTCCCAATAAGTTAATATACAGCCTACCACAATATGCATTTCAACGTTTATAGCTGTAAATTAAAACGTAAAAGAATAAAACTTCCAATAAATGTTTTTAAAGTGCGTTTGTACTCCTGTGTTACTTTCAGTAATAGTTCACCTCATTGCCGGTTAAAACTGTTTTAAAACAAAAACGTAGTAATGTGGGTGTAGCCTAAATGTCAACAGTGCTGCAAACAAACCTTCCATCCTAGTATTACATGACTGCAGTAGTGATGTGCGATACCACTTAATTCCTACACAATCCAATACCAAGTAATAGTAGAGCCATTTGTTTGTTTGGGCTACTGTAGAAACATGACGGCGCAACATGGAGACTTCGATGTAAGAGGGCCCGCGGTGTAGTAATGGCTCATTCTGAGGTAATAAAAACATAACGGTTCATTATGTAAGGTTCTTATACACCACTGAAAACATACTTAAGGATATTATATTGCATTTCAGTCAATAGATCCTCCTAAATATTACACACTGAACCTTTAAGACATACATAGATTTGTCCTCTGGGGAGCATGTAGGAAATCAGCCCATTAGATTTAGATTCCTCTAGTGTATGAGTGTAAAACTAAAAGTCAGGGGTTCACCAAAAAACTAAATGATTCATCTTCTGAGACCTAGGAATAGATACGGTATAGTTATGTCATGGCAATTTGGCTAATCAGTTGTTGAGAAGCTGGCTGTGGACCATATAGTTGGACACACAGATAATGGGAACACAAAAGTATCACACTGACAAGTATTTGAACACAGCTTTTTAGAGATTAAGGTGTCTTTTGAAATTAACAATAGACTTTGATGGTGTAAACTACGTAAGTAGTGTACACTGTAATTTCATTTTCAGGTCTTCAACTTTTCCTTTAATCTTATTGGAGCAGAAACAAACCTGTCAGTGCAGAGTAAATCTATTATATTTTCTTCTTTTGAAGATGGTAATTTTTTACATTATAGAAGCTAATGTTTTTACATCTAACAACTACTCTGTATGAGGTATGTATCACACCTACAGAACTGTTAAATGATATAACGATAACTCACTGATACAAAATAGAGCATTTATTCATGAGCATTATAACAAGCATTACAACATATTTGATCCTACATTGGTGTTCATTTTGTGCCTATGTGTAACAGATGTGTTCATACGATTCTTCCAAAGAAAATGGATTTGGGGTATTTGTCCCTCAGACAGGACCACTGCACAAAGAAATAGTCTGATATCGGGTACAGGATCTTCCCCGTGAGCGACAGTGTCTGCACCCGGCAAATGCTTTCAACATAAACTATAAGAACTTTCTTCATTCCCAGAATTCCAAGAAGGAGTCCTCCCACACACAGCGGGACACAGGTCCCTGGGCCGTTACACAGCACCTGAAATAACACACACACACACACACACACACACACACACACACAAAGGTAGGTGATGAGAACATTTCCAGGAAGTGACGCATACTCTGTTTTTCATAAGCTACACAGAAAGCAGTGTCCAGCAGGGGCTGTGCAGGACATCTGTGACAACTCTCAGGTCACACAACAGAAACTCATTAAAGTTTAGGGTGATATGTGTTTGCTGTCTTAAGATCAATATCTGTTTAATCCCTGTGTCTCCAGTACAAAGAGCAGACTGATGTTTTTCCATCCAGAAATCCATTTTTTCCCCCTATTACAATGATGGGTGAACATCCTTTTCTTACTTTTACCCAGTTGCCTCCAGTTGCACTGTGCTGGGCTGTCTGAGCCACTGTAGAAAACTGACCAAAGAACAGTAGAGTGCATGTGAGAAATATGTGAGATTGGCCAAATACACACACAATTTAAAATGTTTTTTCAGAGATACAGAAAACCCTGCAAACTTTTCACTTATTTTCCTAGTTCAGAAATCACTGATTCACAATTTATTACTTTTGCAGATTTCTAGTATGAATTAGGGTAACTGTTGCATCACAGTGTATTACAATTGGTGTTATTTTTACTATACAAAAACAACTATAGGTAAAAATATCAACTATCAAAATCCATGACTTTCTATCTGTATGAAAATAAACTGACTTCTGTATAAAACATTTCTGTTGAACAGTGACTTGCAGCTCAAACTTTAACTTTTTTCCTGTGAAACAGTGGATATGTTCACCTCCTCAGACCTCTCCCTCTATCTGTGGCTGCTAAACAGTTTGTCCACAACCTGTGGTGAGGGTTACAGCTAGAAATTGATTCATTTTAGACAAAAGGGCTATAGTTAGAGGATAGCACAGGGACTTGTTCTGCGTGTTTGTTTTTGAGATCTTGGGATTTGGAGAGTTCTGTAGTAGAAACTGTTCATCAGAGTGAGGGAATGTGGTGAATACATAGTGTGAAGATTAAAAAAAAAAACACAAGGAGAGCAGAAACTTGCATTATTTGTGTGACTCAGTGACAGGAGTGAAGGCAGCTCAGTGTTACTCAGAGACAGAGTCGAAGGGGACTGAAATGAAAACGTGGCCTCATGGCTGATGGAAGCCGAGGGAATTACGGTTTAACAGGAAACCAGACAGAGCTGCTCTGGAGACTGGAGTCCTCATCCAGCTCCTCAGTGCAGACACAGTAACTGCACTGTGGAGCTGGCTGCCCTGCACTCTGCACTCACAAAGCAGACAGAACTTTACACACAAAACAAGAAATGGTCCATGTAGCAGCAGCTGTAAGCATCAGTATTACAAACCTTGTTAACCTATAAAAAGTAGCTGCTTACAAATTATTGCTGTGCAGTCAATAAAACTAAAATAAATCTTCAGGTCTGCTATAAACATCAGCAGACTTCCCCACATCGCTCCCTCTGGCTACAGAAAATACAACTCTGGAGATGGAAATTTATTATTATTTATTTTCCCCACCCAGACATTTCCAAGCACTGGTTTTACCTACACTTACACAATCTGGTTACTGTCAGCAGAAAATTTTCAGTTTTCACTTTTTTACCCCATAAATATGAGAAACCCAGTAAACTACATTTCTGCTGGAGAAACCTGATTTCATGGCCATGTGTACACTCAACCTGGATTCTAACAGGTACATGTGTGCATATGCATGGCAAAGACAGGGACAGTACTGCTGTGACAACAGCACAGTTATGTTCTTTTATTAAAATAAGAAAAGAAGCTCTATAGGTTGTTTTATATCACTACACTTAAAATGTGCCCACAGCAAGTAGGTTGTTACAGTGCTTGTAATTTTGCATTTTGCATAAATTTTTATTTTTATTTCCCTTATTTTCAAATCCCAATGTTGACAGGTATGGCTATGACTAATACTTAATATTAGCTTATAGGACTGGACTTTTATCAAGCACGTGAAATTTGGGGGAGCCACAGCAGTCGAGCTACAACAGCTTCTTAATGGTGAAATGAGCAAATTGTCTGTCTTGCCATGGCAACGGCATTTTATGAAAACACAAAAGATTTGCAATTTAGTATTGTGAAGGTCTTGAGGTGGATCTGATTAACCTGCTAGAACATAGATCTTAGAAAACTTTAATGTCCTTCAAGAGACAAATTGTGGTGCAGCACAACACACACATTAAAACCTTCATCAGATCCAAATTTTGCTGATGGAGAAGAGCTTTAAAAGTAACCGCTAACTGCTGCCAACTGTAGCTGCCGTCAGCTCAGTTAGCCATGAAGCTAGCGGTCTTATTAGCTTAGCCCAGTTCCATTAACCGCCCCAGGACTGAAGACTCTGGCGGTCCGAAGTTCCTGTGCTAGAAACACCAATAACCTCCTAGTGCTCCAAGTTCCCAGTCAGCCCAATACACCATTAATCCCTGCAAACTGAGGCAGAGCAACCGGAGGACATAAGAGGGAAGATTTCTCTATAAAATATGATCCACTTTCACAAAAAAGGTTGAGGTCAGAGGTCCAGAACAATGCCACACAACAAACATGAATAATTGTCAATAATTCGTCCATTACTTATTATTATTTCAGTATTTCACACTAATGACCGGATGAGACAGAACACATTTTTCGCAGTGAGAGGCACCTGTTTTTAATTGTATTCTATTGGTAGTGAGCGTACTGTGCGCTGTTTCCTCACGTTTTGGGCGCCTGCAGTGCCTTGCGTTTTCGAAGGAGCCCTCTGACGGCACAGAAAGTGCATGATGTCATACCCCCCCCCCCCCCATAGTCCAATCAAATGAGTTGAGAGACAGACATAGTGGGAAATGTTCAGACTCAATTAGAAGGACTGCTTAGTTGCAATTTTGGATTTTTATAAGATTATTGCATCACTGTGATGACATCTTTGTCACGTATTAAATCCACTAGATAATATCAAAAATGTTATGGATCCATAAGCAGTTTCTCAATATATATTTTTATAACAATGTATACAAGGTACATAGTTGTTTATTTGTCATAATACAGCACTGCAATGATGCACTGTTGCATTTTAGTTCTGGTCCAGTTCCTGTTCACACTGACTTTTTATAAATGACCAAGATGACTAAACATGAAGTTATACAGACTGACAGGTGACTCATTGATAGGACAGTAATCTAATTCTGGTGACTGACAGTTTAAGAGGCACTTTAATGCTTCTGATGTATATTTGTGTTCTTTGGTGTCACAAAAAGCTCACAGAGCAATAACTGATACAAGCATTATTAGACTGTAAATCAACCGCATGTTATGAATAATGACATGTCACTTTGTACAGTAATGATTCAGGGCTTATTACAGTGGGATCGCTGTCACACACTTGGATGGACTTAATAAACTGACGAAGAACACAGACTACAAGCACAACAACTTTTAACAGCTATTAATGAGGGAGAATATCCCGCTAACGTGCATGTGGCTACCAAATGATATTCATAAATATATACATGGCTTATACAAATCAATTACAACATCATTCTTTGAGCACATTCCATGATCAGCTGATAGATTTATAAGTAGTTTAGCTTTTGAAATAAAATCACATATTGTTTCCACTTGAAACCAGGTGGTCTCTGTGCGGTTGTTTGGTCTGCACCAGAGTTCGACTGACAGCTTTCACATCAGACCAAACGAACTGTACTTACCAGGGTTCGCCTGGTAACCGAACATCAGTCTACTTCTCTGTCGGTTTGAATGGAATAACAAAATTAGAAGTTGCTAAATACAGAGGAGGGTTAGGGTCACATGTAAAAACTGTATCTGAGTTATGACTTCTGACTCCACATGTGACCCTAGCCCTCTTCTGTAGTTCATTATCTTTTAGAAATGAGAACGTACATAAGTCAATGTATTAATGACACAGAGGTTGTGTAAGTCATGGGCCTGATCTGGTTATGTTAAATATCAGCTCTGTGCAGGATGGAGTTAGATGGGTTTGTGCTCCTCCAGAGTGAATCTATAAATGGGTACTAAGGGCAGTTTGGTCCTGTACTTCTATAAAAGATGGTGGTCTTACAAGTGAAAGGTTTAAAAAAAAAAAAGTTGTAGAGGCCGAGATATCCTTAAGCCCCTTTTCCACTGCAAGGTACCAGCTTGACTTGACTCGCCTTTGTTTGGTTTTCCATTGTGGAAAAGTTGTACCTGTACCTGCTTCCAGGTAATTTTTTTTCCATATCACCTCCGTCGAGGTTCCAAGCGAGCTGAGGCGATACTAAAACTTGACGTGAAAACACGGCAGACTACTGATTGGTCAGAGAGAATCGTCACTGTTTACTGCGTCATCATTGCGCGCCAGACAGAGGCCAGCAACAGAAAGTTTCATATTTTACAGTTTTCACACGTTATTTCATCACTAAATCCACTTCTGAGAAGTTTTGAGGTGAGAAATCAGCTGTGTAGATTTTGAATATTGACAGTTTTACGAGAAGTGATGGCGGAACAAAAATGTGCTTGAACGTTTTTGGAGTTGAGGAGCTCCGCAAGTGGCTGCGGGGGAAGCCTGCAGCAACACGCGGGAGGAGCTCGCGAGGCCGGGCCAGCCGCCCGCTTACAGAGCCCTCTGCTCCCGCCGTCACACAGACCGCTGCAGCAACAACGGCAGAGGAAAACACAGCTGGAAGGTTTTCATACCGCTTATCTGTCTTTACATTCTGAAGAATGCTGAAACTTTTTAACTTAAATCAAGAGACAGCTGTTTGTGGGTCGCTGGTGTGTGTGTCGCATTGAACATTACGTCGAGGCAGTTGTGTGTGGCGTCACTATGACGACCAGCTACATTGAGGGGTACTATGTGCAATGGAAAACGGAGCAAGGCCAAACAGAGTCGAGGTGAGTTGAGCTGGTAATGGAAAAACGGCATTAGATAATCTTAGTTTTTAGTATGTATCAAACTCTAAAAACATTGGATGTTGCATTTCCCATAACGCAACATATTTTCACTGAATCCTCCCTGCCTGGTATGTAGTACAGTGTGTACAGAGGTATGTTGCTGTGTGAGAACAGCTACTGACTGGTCTCTGGGTTCACTCACCACGTCAGGTCTGAGTCTGAAGACCAGAGGGATAGAATACCGCAGCGCGTTCAGGGTGCTGATAACAGAGAAACTCCATGACTGATGCACCTCACGGCTCCGTGGTATCCGATATATGTTGAACTGGGGAACAAGGGCACATGTTCATCAGAGGCGCTCAGAGACATCCCCATTTGTATTGCAAAAAATAAAGATTCATCATAAAACAAGTTGTTGTACTTGGATAAAACTGGCTCATCTCTCAGATTTCACTGCCTCTCACCAGCACGTGAACAGGTCAGTGGTAGACTTTTCCAATGAGTCTACACTTTTACCGCTGCCACATAACAATAAAAGTTTGGTTCACCAACATACAACTGGTCTGCGGTTAAATCTTACTTATACAAATAATTGTATAGTATACTGTATATTCATTGTCATTAAAGTTATTCCTCACTGATATTCAAATAAGTACAAGGTAGGAATCAGGTGTGTTGTACTTCAACTTTAGAGAAGCACAGATGAGAGGTGTACTCACACCACCTGCTGTTGAATGCCAACACTGCACCAGACAGTCTTAACAGTTTATATCACTCCTTTCATCAGCCAACCCAGACAACTTCAGTAAGGATTTTTTTTGTGGGATGGCCAATATGTGCACTGCTCATGTACACACTTTAATACAGATCAATTATAAAATGGTTCCCTGAACATATTTAAAAACACATACACGAGCAGCCCATGTTTACAAAACACTGACTTCATTCAATTTGTATTTATATAACTTATTTAAAACAGAGTTGCGTCATATTAATTTTTCTCTGATTTTAAACTGATATTTTATAACATAAATTCAAGCCAAAATGAATAATTAAAAAACTGTTTACAATAAATGTTTCAAGAAAATAAGTTGATATAAAATCTAAATAACCTGCAGGTAATGTGCCTCTTTGTTTCAACCAACTGTCTATTTTAAAATATTTTCAAACCTCATCTGATATTCTGGACTAAACTACCTAACTACATAAAGTAGTTGAAATAGGAGCTCCTAGAGCAACTACAACAGTAAAATATTGATAATTTTAAATCAGTGACTAGGGACCAAGTACTTTTACTTTTGATACTTTAAGCACATTTTGTTGATGATGCTTCTCTACTTTTGCTTTAGTACACTTTTGAATTTAGGACACCCTAATTTGCTTTGTCGGGGCATTTTGACTAAACCATTTTAATTATATTTTAGCAGTCGTTTGATAAAATGAAATGACCTATAATTTATATATAATATCAGACTGATTGATGTTTTTAATTCTTCAATGTTTGAAGCGTTTAAAGTATAATACTAACTGCTTCAAACCGACGTTTATTCATCACTGCTCACACACTACGTAAGGCTACTACTGTCAGTGCTGCAGCTAACTTACTATGCGTACAGTGGGTTGCCATATCATCAGTTTCAATTTTCATTAAAATAGCCCACCAGCAGCAAATTCTATTCATTTCTATCTCTGTTTCCAAACCAAAATTGACACAATACACAATCACCTGGCTACTTCTTCTTTCACCACACTCCCCGACCCTCAACCCAACCCCCCACTACTTCCAAGCCACTCACTCACATCCTTTAGTGAAATCCTGTAACCATAGTTGCAAGCATAAAGTCATTAAACTATACCCTTGACCCTATCCCCTCCTCTCTAGTAAAGACTTGCCTCCCCACACTCTCCCCACTCATTACCAATGTAATTCACTACTCCTTGTCCATTGGCCTTGTCCCCTGACCCAAGCTTTCTGCCATTACCCTCATACTAAAAAGAAACTTAGATTTGAACCTGACATCCCCAACTACTACCGGCAAACTAACTGGTACTGATAAAGTCATGGTTGCAACAGAACTTTCTCAAACTAAACTGAACAACTAAACAAATCTGAACCCTGCCCACCCTGTCCTTTGCTGCTGCAGAATTACTCATCCATGCCCTCATTACTTCCAGACTCGCTTACTGCAACAGCATCCTTTATGGTTCACCAGACAAAATAACATCTCTATCTCCTAACATCTAACATGCACTTCCTGTGCTCTTCTTCTTCTATCCCCTACAATTATCTTGTATTGATTGCACTTTTTGTGAACTCTAATTTCTTTCTTTAGTATTTACCCCATTGATGTACCATTAGCGCTTACTAGCATTTATTGCTGCTTTTATTAACATATATTGTCAGTTGTAGATGTTGTGCTGTATTTGATGCTCTGTTGATGATGGCATCAAATCCAGTGGCGATGTGATAATGTATGGTCTTAATATTACACTGTCTCCACAAATGTATTTTACCCTTGTTGGTCTGTATAGACCACCCTCTTCCAAAGTAGCTTTTTTTTGAACAGTTAAACTAATATATTAAAAGAATGTAATTTTGACAAAGAGGTTATTTTAATGGGGGATTTTAACATAAATTGGGAAGATAAATGCAACGGAGGTGCCCTTACTCTGACTGTCAGATTTTTCTCTCTACAATTCAATGTATAATGAATACCTTTTTAAGGAAAAATATACCTGGCTGCAGACAAAAAAGCGCTCTTCCATGGTTAAGTGGTGATATACATAAATTGATGAGAGAACGTGATGCGGCACTGAAAGCTGCCCTAAAATCTAAATTAGTAACAGATAGATTTAAATTTGTGGGACTAAGAAATAAAGTAACAAGAGAGATTAGGAAAGCAAAAGCTATATTTTTAATTCATGTTATTGACCAAGCAAAAGGAAATACTAAATTGATTTGGGAGAACATAAAGAGGTTGACAGGTAAACATCATAATGGTAACGAAAAGCGCCTTGAAATCTGTGTGAATGGCAGTATGACACAGGATGAAGCTGAAATAGCAGCAACTCTTAATTCATATTTTGTTGAATCTGTACAGACACTGATCCAGAATCCCTTCACCAATCTAATAAGCATGATGCCTATAAATTATAATAAATCTGTATTTGAGATTCAGGAAATTACTGAAATTAAAGTAAGAATGATTATAAATTCCCTGAAGAGTTCTAAAGCCAAAGATGTATATGGACTGGACACAATGTTCCTGAAAATGTTTAATGAGTGCTTATCTGGCCCACTAACAAATGCAATCAATATATCCATTAATGAAGGGGTCTTTCCAAAAGCATGGAAGACAGCTATAATAACACCAATTCACAAAGCAGGTGATCCATCAGAGGTCTGCAATTATAGACCAATTAGTATAGTACCTACAGTGTCAAAGGTAATTGAAAGGTATGTAGCACAACAACTTACTAGCCACCTTAACAACAGCCCTTTCAGATTGCATCCTATGCAGTTTGGCTTTAGATCAAATCATTCAACGGAAACTGCAAACTGCTTTTTTCTTGAGAATGTGAGATCTAAACTAGATAAAGGGGGAGTTGTTGGGGCCATATTCCTAGACCTAAAGAAAGCCTTTGACACTGTGGATCATGATGTCCTACTTGCAAAGCTCTCATTGTGTAACTTCTCCCCAAATAGTATTAAATGGATGCAATCATATCTTGAAGGCAGAGCACAGCAGGTCAAGATAAATGATGAGGTGTCATCAGCCCTCAAGTGTGGTATTGGTGTACCTCAGGGATCAATTCTGGGGCCCCTGTTGTTTAGCCTTTACATAAATGACCTACCCACTGTATGCAATGAGTCTGAAATTCAAATGTACGCAGATGATACTGTCATTTATGTTCACGCGACAAACAAACAGCAAGCTGCATGTAAGCTTCCAGCAGTGATGGCCGATGTCACACAGTGGCTTAATAACTCCTGTCTTCATTTAAACATAAAGAAAACGGCTTGTATGTCCTTCACAAAGAGGTCTGTTGATGATCTCACACCCAATATTTATATTACTGGGGAAAAGCTGACAGTGGTTTCTGATTTTAAATATCTTGGTGTAATAATTGATTCTAATCTTACATTTAAAAAACAAATTAAGAAGGTAATAAATGCAGTTAAGTTTAATCTGTCAAACTTTCGTCATATCAGAAACTGTCTAACTACTAAGGGAGCAACAGTATATTTTAATGCTATGATTATGCCATATTTATCATACTGTTTGACTAGTTGGGCACAAGCTTCCTGTACAACACTCAAACCTGCGCAGTTAGTATACCACCAGGCTTCCAAGGTGCTTGATAGAAAGCCAAATACTCATCACCACTGTCACAGTCTAAACAATCATAATTTACTGAGCTGGGACAATTATATTAAATTTACAGATGCTTGTCTTATCTATAAGATTCTGCATGGCTTGGCTCCTCCCCCTCTTACTGCTTTTATAAAGCAGAAAACAACTGATAATAGACACACTCGGTCTGTAGCAAGAGGAGACTGTATAATGCCTATGAGGAGGACTGCCTTTGGACAGTCAGCTTTTCAGTGAGAGCAGCTCACACATGGAATGGTCTGCCAACTGGTATTATAGATTGTGAAACGTATTATTCATTTAAACTGAATTTAAAATCATGGTTAAAAGACAATCAAGTGTGTGACCATAGTCTGTGAATTATTCTGAAACACCTGAAGAGTGCTTGTTTTATCTTTTATGTTTTTTAAATTGTTGTCCTTGTATTTTACATGTCCTTGTGAAAGGTATCTTGTTACTTACTTAAGTACTGTTCTTCCTGTTTTAGTGTATTTTATGTAGTTGTGATAACACCTGCCCAGGGACTACAGTCGAACATTAGCCAAGCTGGCTAAACTGGCACATTTACAGAAATGTTTATCAATGTGCACTGTCTCTGTAAACTTAAACTCTATAAATAAAAATAAAAATGATTGTATGTTGATCCTCAAATGTAAGTCGCTTTGGATAAAAGCGTCTGCCAAATCAGTAAATGTAAAATCACCAATAAACTTCAATATGTCCAGAACTCCGCTGCCCACATGCTCACCTCCACCCGTCGCAAAGATCACATCACACCTGTCGTTCACAACCTCAACTCCAACGGGCTCCCAGTTAAACACAGAACTACTTCAAATTAATACTCACCACCTACAAAGCCATAAATAAGACGCAACAAAACTACAAACCACCAGGACCAAGCTCCCGACCTACGGTGACAGGGCCTTTTCAGCTACCACACACCCTCTGGAGGGCCCTCCCCAAGTACATCCAACAGGCAAACCCCAGAGCATCATTCAAACAGGCCCTCAAAACCCACAATTTCAAGCTTGCATCCCCCAGTTAACTTCCTTCCCTTCACTCCCCTCCATTTTTTGACCAACTACATTTTTTCCCTCCCTCTAACCATCTTTGGGTACTTTGAAAATCGCTATTATTATTTTGCAGAAAATACAAAAACCTGGCAACTCCACAAATGTTTTCCCGGTAACACTGTGTGGAGTTAAAGTGACAAAACTGTTTGAGATTTGTAACAAATTGGATATAAAACACATTGATGAGGACAATTCAACAGTGCCTTGACACTGGTGCGAACATGACCTCACCAGCCAGACCCACATCTACACAAGCGCGTACCTGTGGCTCAGAGTCCGAGTGTCGTTTAGAGCTTTCAAAGGTGGAGATTTTCTCCTCACTCATCATGTCAGTGTCAGCGATAACATAGTGTCGAGGTGTGTAAACTGCAGACAGGCACTCCATCAGCCGCAGGATCTCAGTGGTGTGACCACCTGGAAAACACACAAGGCACACTGTCTGTAACACGTGATCAACACAGCAGGTAACACACCATGGGAGATATAAGCCAGTTCCTATCAGGGCTGCCAACTTTTCAGTTTAGTCTGGAGTGAGATGAGGTATTAGTGAAGTCGGTGCATTTAATGATTAGGCTTCGCTTCACCCCCCCAGTATTTCTGTACAGTCCCGTATTATACGCGTTGTTAGCGTGGAAGCGAAGGAAGACAGCTAATTGCAATAAGCTACTTGAAAACGTGTTCTGCTTGTTCGCCATTGTGCGCAAGAATATGAAATAATGCCTAATAAAGTCTTTCTAATATGACTGAGTAAGTTAACGTAAACTTACATCACAGAGAACAGCACACATCAGAGGTAAACTTAACGTTACATGGGCGTAAGTTAAAGTCATTAACGTTACCTGATCCCGCAACAACGAGAACAGCAACCGGACCTTTGGTTCCATGTCGACAGTTTGGTCCAGTCTTCACAACAACATATAACCGGATAACAAACAACAAACATACAAGTAAAATAGCACAAATAATTTCAACCACGAACACCATGGCTGTTACGGCAGCTCTGTAGGACCAATCCAGAAGCGGCTCGTTCTGCTTCTTCTTTAGTGTTTAATGGCGGTTGACAAACCATCTTAAAGGTGCATTACCGCCACCAACTGGACTGGAGTGTAGAACAACAGATTATGCAGGGGGGATAGTTTATTTTATCTAAATCATTTTCTTTTAAAACTTAATAGTGTCACAGTATATCTGCCCTACTGTTCCCCAAAGAGACCTGACAATGAAAAGGCATGGTGTTTTGCCTTCCTTAGTGACTGAAGAACGTGATTTCTCTGATATTGTATTATTTTACTATACTATACATTTTCCAGTTGGGTGCTTGCATATACAGGTGCTGGTCATATAATTAGAATATCATCAAAAAGTTGATTTATTTCAGTAATTCCAAGTGAAACTTGTATAATGTATATATTCATTCCACACAGACTGATATATTTCAAGTGTTCATTCCTTTTAATTTTGTTGATTATAACTGACAACTAATGAAAAACCCCAAAATCAGTATCTCAGAAAATTAGAATATTGTGAAAAGGTTCAATATTGAAGACACCTGGTGCCACACTCTAATCAGCTAATTAACTCAAAAAACCTGCAAAGGCCTTTAAATGGTCTCTCAGTCTAGTTCTGTAGGCTACACAATTATTATCAAGAACCACCACAGACGGCCACAGCAATACGTGGGTTTCAGCTGTCGCATTCCTTGTGTCAAGCTCTTGAACAAGACACAGCGTCAGAAGCATCTCGCCTGGGCTAAAGACAAAAAGGACTGGACTGCTGCTGAGTGGTCCAAAGTTATGTTCTCTGATGAAAGTAAATTTTGCATTTCCTTTGGAAATCAAGGTCCCAGAGTCTGGAGGAAGAGAGGAGAGGCACAGAATCCACGTTGCTTGAAGTCCAGTGTAAAGTTTCCACAGTCAGTGATGGTTTGGGGTGCCATGTCATCTGCTGGTGTTGGTCCACTGTGTTTTTTGAGGTCCAAGGTCAACGCAGCCGTCTACCAGGAAGTTTTAGAGCACTTCATGCTTCCTGCTGCTGACCAACTTTATGGAGATGCAGATTTCATTTTCCAACAGGACTTGGCACCTGCACACAGTGCCAAAGCTACCAGTACCTGGTTTAAGGACCATGGTATCCCTGTTCTTAATTGGCCAGCAAACTCGCCTGACCTTAACCTTATAGAAAATCTGTGGGGTATTATGAAGAGGAAGATGCGATACGCCAGACCCAACAATGCAGAAGAGCTGAAGGCCACTATCAGAGCAACCTGGGCTCTCAGAACACCTGTGCAGAGCCACAGACTGATCGACTCCATGCCACGCCGTATTGCTGCAGAAATTCAGGCAAAAGGAGCCCCAACTAAGTATTGAGTGCTGTACATGCTCATACTTTTCATGTTCATACTTTTCAGCTGGCTAACATTTCTAAAAATCCTTTTTTTGTATTGGTCTTAAGAAATATTCTAATTTTCAGAGATAATGAATTTGGGATTTTCATTAATCATCACAATTAAATGTAAGTAAAAAGTAAACATTTGAAATATCAGTCTGTGTGTAACGAGTAAATGAATATAATATCCAAGTTTCACTTTTTGAATGGAATTACTGAAATAAATCAACTATTTGACGATTTTCTAATTATATGAGCAGCACCTGTAATCCATGGTTGAGACTTGTATGATCTATTCAGGCGAGTGATTATATTTTCTTCCCTTTGTTTCCAGCCCACCATCCTCCCGGCACCATCATGTCTTTGTATATCATAGATGTCTTCCAGTTTCACGGTTATCCCGATACTCCTGCCATACTGGCTGTGCATATATGCTAATGAATGTCTAAGCTTCAGTTTTGCTTAATGGAGCTTGTAGGTCGACATGGTTGATTGTGAGTGTTTGTTTGGTCAGACTGTTGTCCCGATCCTTTCTCTCCACACCAACAGGAGCTGGGACCCACAGGAAGTGTGTAGATATACCCTTAATTTTCATCCAGTCCATTATAAGGAATATTTCATTAATATCTATTCTTAATTATGATCTGCCAGATCTTAGTGCTGAAAAGCTGTCAGATGCAATAATGGTGTTATTTATTTTCTTCTCTATCCACTGCAGGGCCAGTAGTGTTGCCAACAGCTCTGTGGTATATACTGACAAATGGTCGGATACTCTTCCCTTAATATGTATCAGGATAAGTGGAGCCATCTGTGAATACAAACCCTGAGTATGAAAAATCTGATCTAAACAGTTCCGGCCTACACGCCATACTCCTTCCTGCTGTTTGCTACTTTTGGCACGGGCAATAAAAAGAGAGAAATGATGGAAACTGTACTGTAATTGTTGTTATCCTATGTTTTCAGCTTTTGCATCACCAATTCAACCCAAACTTGTGAAATTTGTCTCATTATGTTCCCCGCAGTCTGTTAAGAGTCTTGGTAGGATGAGTACCACATTGCCCCAGGAGATTAAGCCCATATATTTATTATTATATTTATTATATTATTGCCATGTTTAACTGAAGGCTGAATGTTGTAGCTTTCTACATCCCACTCTTGCTGCCATAAATGACTCACTGATGATGTCGCGACACTCCACCCTGCCAAGTGGCACCTGCATCTCTGTCCATGCCTAAACTGTCTGCCACCTCATTTCCCTCAACCCCAACATGAGCTGGCACCAAATAAAAAACAAAAAAACACATCACGTCCCTGCCTCTATAGTTTAAAAATCATCATTAAAATCAGCTATGTCTGGCCTAGCTCTGCCATCCTCACCAGCACCCCCACCCAATGCTATCAAGGCAGATAATGAATCACACAAGACAACTTTACCCAAACCTCCTTCCTCCACCCACCGCAATGCCCACATCAAAGCAACTAATTCTGCTGAAAATATTGAAATCCCATCAGACAACCTTCAACTCTGACAGATTTGCACATGGGGTACATGTAAGCCCAATCCTACTCTTCTGCTTTCACGCTCTTTTGAGCCATTAGTTTAAATGCTTATATAATTACCCCATCTAATCCCTAGGTGTCCTTCTACACATACAACAGTGTACAAAAACTGAAGCTAAATTGTGTCATAAATCAGTTTCCAATATAACGTTATAATTATGTACATATAGGCCAAAAGTTCAGATAATGATTAAGTATAAATGTGCCCATAAGTTGCCTTTTATATTAATTTGGTGTTCAGCATATTTGGCATATTACAGGTAATCAGTATGGTTTATTATATTAAGACAAACATATATTTACATGCTAAATGTAAGTCAGCATATGCATATAATTATGTCAGTACATTCATGTAACATTTTATTATAATGAAACATAAAAAGTGTGCCAGAGGTTGTTGTGGCCAGGCAGAGGCCCTGTAGTAAAGGGAAGCCCAGGGGAATCCCCTCTTTCCCGTCGCCAGTGAGTCTGGGGTTAGTAAGAAAATGCTCAGGTCAGCAAAAAGAAGATGCCATGTGCAGAGGCAATGATGTAACCGCTAGTATGAGCTACTCACAAACAACTGAAGATGCTCATAAGGGACTGAAAGAGAGAATGTCTACAACAGGGTCACCCGCGGGTCCGTACCTACAACATGATGCCCAACAACTGGCCATACACACCGATCTGAAACACTCGGACACCAACGCAGAAACAGCAATACCAGCTCAAGGTACCAGCAAAGCCGCACAGACTTTAGGCAGTGAGTGCCAAATGAAATCACCTTCATCAGGTATAAACTGTAGCGCTGAACACAACCAACAAATTACAACCACAGCCAAACCCAGTTTTTAAGAAACATACGGTAATGTTTCAGACTCTAAATCAGGCAAAGATGATTTGGGACCCATGCTGTAAACCTAAAGGGCTACTTGGTGGACACCTAAATATTAGAAGCATGATCCCCAAAACGTAAACAGTGTATGGGAGTAGACATTATACTTTCTACAGAAATGACATTCACAGTCATATGTATATATCGTAAACCATCAGCTAAATTAGATTTTTATAGCAACCTTAAAACCCTTATCAATCTTACTAACATGAAAAAATAGTTCATCTTAACTAAGACAAGAAAGACAGGAAAAACCTTAAACAGATAATTGATCATTTTAATTTGGATCAACTATTTAAAACGCCAACCCGAGTAACTAACCGCTCCAAAACAAGAATAGATTTAATGTTTTAATGCATCTTCTTTTCACAAAAATTAACCAAAACACTATTTCGTAATTCCAATTTATCTAATAATTCTTTGTATCATGATATAATCCCCAAAAGTCAACATCCAAATCTAGAAATAGCCCTAAATGAGGCATAGGAGAACTAATGACAATGACATACCATGGCTTCATAATGACTGCAGGAGTCAAATGAAGATAAGAGATCAATTACTTAAAAGGGCGATTAAAACTGGCCTGACCTCAGACAGACAACAATTTACATCAGCAAGAAATAAATTTATACAAACAATGCGGAAGGCCAAAGCACATTTTTATATGACTATTATTGAAAGCGCAAAAGGGAACGGGAAAAAAAATCTAGCAAAGCATTAACAAATTAGCTGATAAACAGAACAAACAAGATAAATTATTTGAACTTAAAATTAATAATGTATTGGTGAAAGATCCTCTCCTCCTGGCGTCTGAGTTAAACTCGTTTTTCAAAAATATCTTAATTATTCACCCCATCTGAAAATGTTTCTTTCCTGTTAACTAAACACAGCCTATATTTATATTTATGATTGGAACCAGATGTGGCCTCTATCATTGATGAATTAAATAAATCCAAAGCTAAGGATGAGTTTGGATTGGACATAAATTTCATTAAACTGCACAAAGAGTCTCTAGTATGCCCTATTACACATATGATTAATCTAACAATTAAGCAGTCTGTTGTTCCACCAGATTCGAAGGTGGCCACGATTACACCAATTTTTAAATCAGGGAGCAGATTATATATTAACAATTATAGACCAATCAGTATTCTTCCTGTTATATCTAAAATTATTGAAAAATGGAAAGCAAAACAACT